GTTACTTTTTAAATCTGGACAGGGCTTGCTTGTTTGTTTTTAAAATAAAAAAGTTATATTTTTGGCAAATATAAAAGCCTTTTCATACCAGAAGTGAAATGAATGCGCCTCAGGCTGAAGGGAAAGTACAGTAGAATGCAGAAGAAGACATTTCAACACACTTCAGCAATAAACAAACACACAAATGTTCGTCTAGAGTAATTTGTGCTTATTAGTACGCTTGAACTGGATCATCGAAGCTCAGAAGCAAAGACATTGCTTAATAGAATGGGATTAAATACATAAAGCATATTTGTGTTGTTTAACATTTAATTATTGCAGGTTTGCGTCATATTCTGAGTTGCATTATTTGTATTCATTGTGAGGAATACTGAATCTGTTTTTTTTGTTTTTTTGTGAGTGAGATGAATTAATGCATATTCATATTTATTTTAGGTCTACAGTAACATCTGATTTCTCTCGACATGGGGACAGCAGAGCTGTCAGTCAATAAATTGGGAAAAAATTTTAACTTGCGTTACTTATTTGAAAAAGTAACTCAGATATTCTCTTGTAAATTAAAAAGTAATGCGTTACTTTACTAGTTACTTGAAAAAAGTAATCTGATTACGTAACTTGCGTTACTTGTAATGCGTTACCCCCAACACTGGAGAGAACTATTGGCTTTAAGCACTGAGACAGTGTCAAACTGTGAAAGCTGATGACTGTCAGCTGGTTTATGCTGTCCTCTGCTCTTCTCTTCTCTGCAGACAGTCGGGCTTCATTACTTATGGTGGTGCTGGGAGCAAATGCACTGTAGTTTAGAAAGACAGAAACAGTTGGTCTTTTCCCCCACAGTAATGATTTCACTGGAGAAGGAGAATACTCGCTGTTTCAGAGTTAATCTGATACTTTGAAGAGAGACTTTGCGTATCTTCATTGCAGCTTTTTTTAAAAGAATAATCTGGATCCATCAATTCTGTCTAATTTCAGACCTATTTCTAAACTCCCCTCTTTATCTCCCCACCCCAGACCTGTACGTCATCTTGTGTTTGACAAACATGATACAGGGCAACAACTCACTGCGTGATGTAGCCTATAAAACACAGTTATGTGCCCCTAAAATTCAAGATATTGGGGCAAAAAATGCCCTTGTATGAGTTTTTTCTCATATTTATATCATATTTGTCCCGAACAGCATGAGTGCACATGTGATTTTAAACAACAGTTCAGTAAATAAGTTAATTTTAAATATATGCAAATAATGCAAGAACATATATATTTAGCCTAAATGATTATGTGTAATAAATATTACGTTGAATCAAATAAAATATTTCTTTTTGTAATATCTACTTGATATTTTTCTCATTTAGCACAACAATGGCTTTAAATGATCTTTTGGGGGTAATTTTACAGCCACATTTAATTTGCGATTAATTAGATTGATTAATCGCTACATCATGTAATTAATTTGATTACAATTTTAATTGAATAACATGCAACCTGTATATGTTGGCATTTGTTTAATTGGACTAGATTCTACCAAGTGACAGATGAATTTAGTTAAAATAAAACATATTTGATTTGACCATTGACAAAAACATTTTCTTCTCCTTTTTAAAAGTGTATTTTCATGCATAAGCTTTATCTTTCAATAATATGATATTTAAATCTTTAGATTTATGAGCAAAGCTCTTTTCGAAACATATAATGCAATGATGATTGAGAGATGAACAAATAAACAGTCCTGATAGATATTTGATGCTCACATTTTAAGATGATTTTACTAAAAATGTGTGTGGAAGTTAACCTAAGTGAGTGCTCTTCTTGAAATATTAATATAAAAGTTATTCGTACGTTAACTTTATACAAATCACTAAAGATTTCACAGCAAAAAGACACATGAATGACCTGAAGATGGAGCTAAAAGGCTGTTTTCCAGCTCAGTTCTGGGTGAAGTTTTGCAAAGTATGTGGAGAAGTTGTTGTTGTAGTCCATGCAGACTAAGGAAAAGGCTACACTGTAAAAAATGACTGTGAATTTAACAGTAAAAGTTACTGTAAAACCTCATCACCTCCTGCATTTGGTGGTTATCAGTGTATTACAAAGCTACAAAACAGATTTCAGTACTTCAATAGGTTGGTATATTAACATTATATCAGTTAATGGAATTACGGTATTAACTGTAAATTTAAGTTAAAACCTAAAACGTTGCTACCGTATTTTTTACGGTAAAATTCCGGCAACCACAGCTGCCGTTTTTTTACCGTAAATGTTACGTTTTTTTTTTTTTACAGTGTAGAGCTGACAATACTGACAGAAATAAAGCTTCTACAATACCTTAATTCTGCTTTTCTGCTTTCTTGGTGGTCAGTAGTAATTAGAGGGCTTTGTGATGAATATTTATGAGCAGTTATTTCCAGAAAGCTCTACAATGGCTCTTATACTCCCACTCTCTGAAATCTCTGCTTTATGTTTCTGCATGACAGCACAGCTAGCGCTGCATTGGCACTTCTGAAAGCTAAGCAATATTTGTGATGTTCTGTCGAGTTGTCAGATGGTGTTGAGCTCTGTGTGAAAACGCTCTGCTTGAGAAAAGAGCAGGTAAAAAGAGAACATGTTGTAGTTTACTGTACCGCCGTTAACACAGTATTGATGTTGTATTAAACAATTCACATGTACCCTAACCCTCATGTTGTTCTTAACCCATATCATTTTCTTCTTCTGTGGAACACAAAAGAAGACGTTTTGTAAAATGTCCTGGCTGCTCTCTTTCGCGTAAAATGAAAGTGAATTGAGCCTGGTGCTGTTGAACTCTGCTAAGGACAAAATGCACTATAAAATGACTCATGTACAATAAAACTAATCAATTCAATAGCTTTGTGTAAAGAACAAGACAACATTGAATCCCACCCTCCCCCGTAGCTTTCAAATCTCAAAGCAGGCAAACACAAGACAACAGAAACAAATGTCATGAGAGAACACAAAGCACGTGGTGCTTCACAAAGCGTTTCATTTCTAAACCAGCATATCAGTTTTGTAATGTAGGTTCAGTTTTAATAACAGACGTGTATTATGAAAAAAAGAAAGTGATATAGTGCATTGTTTCCAACTGGCGTAGTTAGCCGAATTCTTCCTAAAAACATAAAATAAGCTCTACAAATCAATAAAACACAATTTATATTATATTAAACATGAGTTATACGGACACTTCATATTTAACCCCCGTAAAGCCTGACATTAAATAATAGTCAGAAAAAAATCTTATTTATTTATTGAACCTTTAAAAAAAGAGAACATTTTATGATAAAATATCTTAGTGGAGGACAAAACATATAATGCAATGCGATACAATGATGATTGAGAGATGAACAGATAAGCGTTCCTCAAAAGCCTGATGTATATTTGATGTATTCTATTCGCATTTTAACATGTCAGTTTCATTTTTTTTAACATGATTTGTACATTGCATTTAATAGATTTAATTGACTTCTTGCAGTTGGTTTGTAAATTGTTTTGTACAGTGAAAAGGCAAACACAAGACAACAGAAACAAATGTCATGAGAGAACACAAAGCACGTGGTGCTTCACAAAGCGTTTCATTTCTAAACCAGCATATCAGTTTTGTAATGTAGGTTCAGTTTTAATAACAGACGTGTATTATGAAAAACAGAAAGTGATATAGTGCATTGTTTCCAACTGGCGTAGTTAGCCGAATTATACCTAAAAACATAAAATAAGCTCTACAAATCAATAAAACACAATTTATATTATATTAAACATGAGTTATACGGACACTTCATATTTAACCCCCGTAAAGCCTGACATTAAATAATAGTCAGAAAAAAATCTTATTTATTTATTGAACCTTTAAAAAAAGAGAACATTTTATGATAAAATATCTTAGTGGAGGACAAAACATATAATGCAATGCGATACAATGATGATTGAGAGATGAACAGATAAGCGTTCCTCAAAAGCCTGATGTATATTTGATGTATTCTATTCGCATTTTAACATGTCAGTTTCATTTTTTTTAACATGATTTGTACATTGCATTTAATAGATTTAATTGACTTCTTGCAGTTGGTTTGTAAATTGTTTTGTACAGGATCATTTTGCAATCGGATCAATTGATTCAAAGTTTTGAAAAGCTCACTTTGTCCTATCACTGTGATGTTTAACTGAATGAATGAGATTTTGCATGCCAACATAAACGGTTGAAACAAATTGTTTAGAAAGCTTTGTTTCCTCCATCACTAAATCCATGCCAGAACAGTGAGAAACACAAGGCATAGATACAAAACATGTGACACAAGACTTAAGAACATGAACTTTCGAAACAAAAGACATCAAAATACATGAAACCAGTGAAAAAACCCACATTTGAAACTGCCAGAGATTCAGTCACTGAAAACCTTCAGCCATAGACGCTATAAAATACCTCTTTTTCAGTTTGCAGCAGAGATAGAAAATATGCCAAAACCCATCAATTAAGCGTTAGCGTTAGTTCTGGCAGGTCACGTGAGTCAAGCTTGCATCAGCTGATTCTCAGCTGATCACATCTACCTATAGGAATACGACACCTATCGCGGCATTCCTATATAAGCTCTATTCAGTATTATTCAGCAGCTTTTCAGCTTGCTTCGGAGCAAATTACCCTCCTCCATCCCCAGCTCCACCTTTCGCCACAGTCAGGACTTCGCTTTCTGATATTCCTTGCTAATCAGACTCCTTTATCTTGAATAAAGTGTTACACTTAAATATCATCGAGTACATTAATGATATCTGCCTTGTTCTGTTCTGTTAACCCTGGGGGGGGTATTATTGCTGCTCTCCCTGCTCATTCATGACAGGCTGCATGGATGGGCAGGGAGGTTTTTGCCCAGAACAGAACCATACCGCCAAACCAAACTTTATGCTAAGTATCTATCATTTTGACGATAGTGGTCCTGACAGAAACATTGTCTTTGCCAGAACAGAACTTGTCTGTCATTGGATTAGTTAACGTGGTTACTGCCTGATGTTGATAATCTCAAAATGGCCAAATACCAGATAATCTATTCCTGTGTAAATACATTTCTACTGCCTCGGCGTGCTGCATTTGAAAGCCTGTGTAAACACACTGTATATTAACCATGTGGTTGGGTATTCTGAGGAATAAAGCCTCTCTAGAGAGTCAAATTTCACTTATATAATTTGCACTTACAATATAATTTGCACATAACATCTTTTGTATCTTAAGTTGTACGTCAGTGTTGCCAGATGTTGCCAGAAACTAAAAAAAGGAATAATTGGAATTTTTAAATTAAAATTTTATGACAGCTGTCAGTTCAAAAGGTTTATTTATGACTGCGCACTGGCAGCTTCTGACAGATGTTGCCTTAATAACTTATTTCCATCTCTCTCTCTCTCTCCTAGAGTAAATGACAGCATTCTCTTCGTGAATGACGTCGATGTTCGGGAGGTGACCCACAGTCAGGCGGTGGAGGCTCTCAAGGAGGCGGGTGCTATCGTCAGACTCTATGTATTACGCAGGAAACCCATCGCTGAGAAAGTCACCGAACTCAAGCTCATCAAAGGGCCAAAAGGTACGGACTCGTTGACCAGGTGACCTAGGCTCTATTCATCATTTACATTTATTCATTCAGCAGATGCTTTCATCCGAAGCGACTTACACGTGCAGAACACAACAAAGTGATTCATCACAGTGACTTCTAAACCTGCTGTGAGCTACAACGTCGTTAATCAGTGGTATATGCTTTTGTTGAAGCCGTTCGTTTGCATTATTTCAACACCAGTGGAATTTGTGGCTGAAACTACATTACCCAAGATGCTGTGCAGAAAGCTCGACCAATCAGAAAGTCGCAGTGAGCAAATTGTGCTTTTTGTGTGAATTTTATAATCATGTTTAATTTGATTGTTATTTGCAATGCTTTATGGGAGGCCTGTTAAGGCCTGTTCACACCAAGAACGACAACTATCAAGATATATATATATAATGATAATTATGCATCCACATCGACACACAATAAAGTTCTGTTCATTAGAAGCACGTGCTGCAGTTTTGTCGTCTGCACACTAAATGCTTGAGCTCTTTTAAAGGCATAGTTCTCCTAAAAATGAAAGTTCTGTCATCATTTCCCCACCCTCCACTTGTTCCAAACCTGTACGAGTTTCTTTTCTTCTGTCGAGCACAAAAGAAGATGCTTTGAAGAATGTTGGCGGTTGACGGTAGCCATTGACTTCCATGGTATTTTTTTTTTCCCCACACTGTGGAAGTCAATGGCTACTATGAACTGTTTTGTCAGAAAAGCATCCAAAGTGCATCTTTTTAACGAAGAACTGAAAGCTCTGTTTGTGAAGAGATATGCCACCCCTGTCGTTTCTGTCTCAGGGCTAGGCTTTAGTATAGCGGGTGGTGTGGGGAACCAGCACATCCCTGGAGACAACAGCATTTATGTCACAAAGATCATCGAGGGAGGAGCGGCTCATAAGGACGGGCGACTACAGATCGGTGATAAGATACTGGCGGTAAGACGACACATGTACATCATTGCTGAGGACTGACATGTGTAAAGATAGACTGTATTAGACACTTCAATGCCTCCACCTGTTGCTCACAGGAGGAACTACAGGCATTAGCATTCACTTTGATTGACCTGCATCCCTGAAAATGTTCTATTTTATCTGTTGCCACTAGTGATGCAGAAATTGCACACTGCAACTTTAAACACAGCTTTAAAGTATAAAGTAACTGGCCATAAAGCACAGATCTTACATTTCTGCTTTTAACTTGGCATGGAAAAAGAAGTGCACTTTGATGCCCTTTGTGGACTTAACTTTAGTACATCTTTATAAGTAATTTCTTAATTAATTCTATTGTCTTTGCAGCTGAATGTACTGACAGACATTTATGGGAAACTAAAATATGCTTTAAATATATTTGGAGCTATGCATTTGTAATGGTGAAGTTGCAATTTAGCAGTGCTATTTTATTAGATACTATTATAGTTTTTATTAATACTTTGAATAAGTTTTATATTTGCTGTTTTTATTTTAATTTGTTAAAGTTTTGGTCATTTTATTTTGTGTTTTTGTCATTTTTAATAGTTTTTTTGATATGTCTATATTTGTTTCGGTTTTAGTTATTTTACTACATCCGGTTAAACTTTTATTTTATTTCAGTTATATTTTATTTCGGTTTTTGCTTATATTAAGTAACAAAAATGTTTTTAATGGTTTTAGTTTTAGTTTCAAATTTAGGTTTAGTTAGCTTTAATAACACTGCACTTTGGTACATTTGAAATATATTAACTTTAAATGCAATATTAAAATAACACACTACAGTTAAAATAATAGTCAAGTATTTACATGTACATCAAAATAAGTGCGCACTTTAAAACACAACAAAAGATCATTTAATACACAATGATATAGAATGCACTTTCGTTTGACATCACATTTTTAAGGAAGCAGTCATGAAAGTGAACTTCAGTGGCATTTTTACTTCATTAATCTTATATTATCTGCAGGTTTTTTAAAGTTATTCTTTTAAGATCTCAGTACACTGCAAGTGCACAAGTGCATTTGTTTTTCACGAGGGACATGCGTCCCGTAACGTCAGTCTCTGCATCTGCAGGTGAATAATGTGTGTTTGGAGGACGTGATGCATGAGGACGCGGTGGGCACGCTGAAGAACACAGCAGAGGTGGTCTACCTCAGAGTGGCCAAGCCAAACAACCTGTACCTTACCAACAACTACAACCCACCAGACCTCACGAGCAGTGAGTACACAGCACTCAGAGGCGCTGCTTCACAGATAGAACACAAGACAAGCTCTTGAATAACTCTCAAGACTCGATGGCAGTCCTCACTAAATCCAGCTTTCCCTTCAGCGTACTCTCCGCATCTGGACATGGACCTCGGACATCCAAACTTCCTGGCCTCGGATTACCCACAAGCACTCACTCCCACCTCACCAAGCCGCTTTTCTCCAGTGCTGCATGGCTTGATAGGAGATGATGACTTACCCAGGTAATGAATTTATTTTATTTAAAGTTATCATTTGTTTTAGTTTTAGTTATCAATAATAACCCTGCCTTTGGTAAATACAATAAATATTAATTGGCAGCTGAGATTAATAACTGAATTTTAGATTGAAGTCACACCTATGATGCAAACAGCAGCAGACAGAAATTGTATTTTCATATTGTTTTGATCAGAGCTTTGTTTTAAATCTTATGGATTCAATATTTGGAATTTATTCGCTAAACAAAACTGATTCAGAGGCATTTTATATTTCTTATTAGTTATTCAAATAAGCTTAGTATGGAAAAGGGGTTCATTATATTTATTAAAATATGGCAAATTATGATCGAAAAGTCGATAAGTAAATCCTTAAATTTTTTTTGAAATCATTTCTGCAGATTTCTACAGATTTTCTCCGTAATTAGAGCAGAAAATGCAAAAACCTAAAAAAATACAAAAACCTTAGTGATAGACACCAAAACTATATACGTTTTATATTTCACAAAATCTCCACAATGTTTGCAAACTAAATTTAGCACCAACTGGTTACACATATTTATCATTTCATATTTAGTTAGGCGTTCTTTGTTGCTCTCAGAAGTATGGAAGCTTGTTTCCTCCACAGAATAAAAAATATAAAAAGGTAATTGCAATTGCAAGTTTATATCTTGCAATTCTGACTTCCGTGATGTTAACTCGCAAATGTGAGTTATAAAGTCGGAATTGCATGAAATAAACTTGCAATTGTAAGAAAATATCAGAATTGTGAGCTGACTTTTTTCCATCAGAATTGGACTTTATAAAAGTCAGAATTGCAAGTTCATTTTTCACAATTGTGACTTTATTTCTCGCAATTGCGAGTTTATATCTTGCAATTCTGAGAAAAAAGTCAGAATTGTGAAACAAAAAGTTGCAATTATTTATTTATTTTAATTCCGTAACGGAAAAGTGATTACTGTCAACCAGCATTGTTTTTTTTACTGAAACATTAAATAGAGCTAAATCTTAACTGGTTGATCATTTATGTCATTGACATATAGTTTTATGGCTCAGCGATATGATAATATAAGACTTTATAGAAATAACAATAAGTGAGCCTGGAGCACAAAAGCAGTGTTAAGTCGCTGGGGGATATTTGTAGCAATAGCCAACAATACATACCGTAAATATATCAAAACTTCATTTTTGATTAGTAATATGCATTGCTAAGAACTTCATTTGGACAACTTTAAAGATGATTTTATCAATATTTAGATTTTTTTGCACCCTCAGATTCCAGATTTTCAGCCAAATATTGTGCTATCCTAACAAACCCATACATCAATGGAAAACTTATTCATTCAGCTTTCAGATTATGAATAAATATCGAAAAATGGACCCTTAAGACTGGTTTTGTGGTCCAGGGTCACGTATATGGATTTCAGTAAAGCTGTTTTGAAAAGCACTATACTTGATTTAATGAAACAGCATGCTTTAGCTAAACCAGCTGTGTTTCTAAATCAACAATAGTTAAAAAGAAGTGCATAAATGAATAAATGTTAGCTTGCAAGCATAAGTGCACAGTGAATCACTCTGTGCATATCTGACTGACAGCACTGCGCCGCTGTTTCAGGCTCAGTCATATATGAAATAATGTGTGTTTTACTGGAAACGATTTTTATGTCATCCTGGAATTCTTTTGTAATTTATCTCTGCCTTCTGTCATTTCTTTGCTCTGTCTTGTGTGTCTCAGGGACCCGAGGCGTGTTGTGATCCACAGAGGATCGACGGGTTTGGGGTTTAATATAGTTGGAGGGGAGGATGGTGAGGGAATATTCATCTCTTTCATCCTGGCAGGAGGCCCTGCGGACCTGAGCGGAGAACTGCGCAAAGGAGATCAGATCTTGAGTGTGAGAGCATGCAAACACATACACATCTGTTTTCACACCGTGTGTGAATCAAATCACATGTTTTGAACCTATAATTACAGTATGATGTCCCTGACAACTCCATTTAATACCAGCCATGATGTTGGTCAGTAGATCAGTATGTTTAATTAGTAATGCATACTGTATGTTTTAATGGAGACTCCATCCCATTAGTCCTGACCAGCATTTTTGTCCATAGATCTATACCTGACAGTCAAAGACAAAGTGCAAAGTATAAGACACAAACGGTCTTTGCACGAAAATAAAAAATAGAAAATCCAAGAAAAATCAAAAACATCTATATTGTGCTTCGAGTATGCTGATAACTATTTGGTTTAAGGAATTTCTCGCTTTTAAGGATGTGTGACCAAACCATGCGACCAAAGAAAAGGACAAAACTGATTCAATAAAAGCATGATAAAACACGATCATTAGCGTTCGGTCGATATGAAAGTGTGATAATTTCCTTAAACGATACAAGCGCCGTTGACCTTTTTTTTTTACACACAGCTGCACAAGTTCAATTTTGCATCAATAATAGTCCCAAGGTGTTTATAGGATTGCACATACTCAATGGTCTGACCTTTAATTAAAGTAGCTTTATTCATACGAGTGATCCTCCTAAAGTCAATGAGAATATCTTTAGTTTTTGATATATTACGCCGGAGGTAAGATTCCTCACTCATCAATAACTGGGCCGTGGCTGATCTCATTCTCCTGCAGCAGACTTGACGATAACCGAATCATCTGCATATTGTCATAGCTGCTCTGACACATATTTGTGCGAAGAATAAACAATAAAGGTGACAGCACACACCCTTGAGGAGACCCTGTAGAAGAGCTTTTCTGGTCAGACAAAATACCATTGTCCCTTACTCTCTGTGTCCTATTTGATAAAAAGTCAAGAATCCAACCTACCAGATTATTACTTACCTCAGACTGTTCTAAGAGCCTTCTGGTCAAAATGTGGGGTTGGGTTGTGTTAAAAGCCGAGGAGAAGTCTATAAATAAAAGTCTGGCGTGTGTCCCATTCCCATCCAAATGTCTAAAAAGCAAATGACCGTAGCATCCTCCACTCCTCTATGAGGCCTATGCGCAAATTGCATTGGATCCAGAGCACGTTCAGTCTGCCTCAAGATCTCAGAAAGAAGTTTCTTTCCCTGAAGTGCATCCACTTTATTCCTCAGGGACTGGACATTTCCCATAATAACCCGGGAAAGCCGCAGCTTCCTCAGCTGTAATCTAACGCCACCTCGTTTGCCCCTCTTGCTCTTCTTTTCCACACTCCTCGGCCCATGAAAATCTCTCAAAATAAAGTTTGGTAACTCCAGCCTAAAGTTCATTTCCCGTACTAAACTAACGAGGCATATTGTGTCCTCCCATGGCATACAGTCCCACGGATGTTGCAGGCCAACAACAAATACTAAAAAAGCCACAGCGCGACGAAATAAGAAAAATCTATTTTAGCCAACTAAATCCAGGAGCACTTGTTCATGTGATCAAACAAAATAAAAACGTTAAAAAAACTGATGAGAACACATAAAGCATCAACACGAGGACACCAAACTCTCATTAACTGCATGCACATGTAATAATATTTGACAATATTGCTGTTTTTTTTACAGTATTTTTGATCAAATAAATGTAGCCTTGCTGAGCATAAGATACTTCTTTAAAACATTTGAAAAATCTTACTGACCCTAAACTTTCAAACAGTATACAGTAAATATCAATGTATAAATATATATGAAATAGTTATTTTTATACTCCCATATTGTGCATTTTTATTTATATTGCTGAGCATGCTGATTGTCATAATATTATTATGTAATTTAAAGGGATAGTTCACCCAAAAAGTGAATATCCTGTCATCATTTACTCACCCTCAGGTTGTTCCAAACCTGTTTGAGTTTCTTTCCTCTGTTGACCAGATGCTGATGTCTGTAACCAAACAGTTAACGGTAGCCACTGACTTCCACAGTATGGAAAAAATAAATACTATGGAAGTCAGTGGTTACCACAAGATGTTTAGTTACCATCATTCTTCAAAATATCTTCCTTTGTGTTCAGTAGAAGAAAGAAACTCATACAGGATTGGAACAACTACTTGGTTGAGTAAATTACAGAATTTTCATTTATGGGTGAACTGTCCCTTTAAGAGCAGTTTTGGATTAGTTCATTGCCAGCATATAAGGATCTGAAAAATAAAAAAGTAAATATCGTAACGCAGCAGTATTTATAATGGGGTAGCGTTGCTGCTGTCGTCTTGTTGAAATGTAGTTTAGCAGTATTGTTACAGTACAGTAATATGTTAAGTAGTGCTGCTGTAGTGATGTGTGAGATCTGTGATTGTAATGATATGCATGTGTTTCTCAGGTGAATGGTGTGGATCTGCGGGCAGCTACACATGAACAAGCAGCAGCTGCATTGAAGAATGCAGGACAGACTGTGACCATCATCGCTCAGTACAGACCAGAAGGTCAGAACACACACACACACACACACACTCTCTCACACACACACACACACACACACACACACACACACACACACTCTCTCTCTCTCTCACACACACACACACACACACACGCACGCACACACACCTGACTGAACAATCTTGCACACTGGGTCCAAAGTTGACACTCGCCAAATGTGGGTAAAAAGAGAAAATATTAATGGACAGTGCACAGTTAATCTATTAGGAACTGCAAAATAACACACTGAATGTGTGCTTGTGCTGTATTTCTTTAAAAAAAATGTCACTTCTTAGATATTTTGTTTTATAATGCAAATACATTTATACATACAAGTGTCCACACTTTTGAGTCCACTGTATACATTACCAATCAAACGTTTGGGGTCTGTAAGTGTTTTTTTTTTTTTTTAAAGAAAGAAAGTAAAACTTTTATTTAGAAAGAATGCTTTAATCCGATCAAAAGTGACAGTAAATACATGTATAATGTTACAAAATGTTTCTATTTCAAATAAATGCTGTTGTTTCGAATTTTCTATTCATCAAAGAATCCTGAAGAATAAAATGTATCACAGTTTCCACAAAAATAGTGTGCAGCTCAACTGTTTTCAACACTGATAATAATCAGAAATGTTTCTTGAGCTGCAAATCAGCATATTATACTGATTTCTGAAGATCATGTGACGCTGAAGACTGGAGTAATATAGAAATTCAGCTTTGATCACAGAAATACATTATATTTTAACAGATATTCACATAGAAGCTAGTTATTTTATATGAAAAAAATATTTCACAATTGTACTGTTTTTACTGTATATTTATTCAAATAAATGCAGCTTTGGTGAGCAGAAGAGTCTTCTTTCAAAAGCATTTAAAAAATCTGAAAAAAATGTGAATTCTAGTGTATATGGAATAGATATTTTAGACTCTCACACACACCACATCACTGTGCAAACTGACACAAATGGTTGATTTCTAATAGCTCTTCTGTGCTGTGCAGTGTTGGATAAGTGTTGTGTTTGTTTGTGCAGAGTACAGTCGATTTGAAGCTAAAATTCATGATCTCAGAGAGCAGTTGATGAACAGCAGTATGGGCTCTGGAACAACTACATTACGAAGTAACCCTAAACGAGGATTTTATATCAGGTAAACATACAGCACACACTACAACTACAGATGACCAGCCCTTCAGTCTTTTAGTCTTCTGTTACTTTGAAAGGTGGAGAGAGCTCTGGACTGGCAGTTAACATGCACACGCTAAAATAGACGTCACATGTACAAATCTGGCTTACAATATTACTGTAGTTCCAAATCCATTACCCTTGTCTTCTCTGCATCTTTTCCTCTCCTCTTTCTACTATACTACAGGTCAGAGTAGATGTATACTCTTGTATACTCTGTGCAATATGCTACTTTTTGGTATGTAAGCCCTTGTGAAAAATAATTACACTTTAGCATACTTAAGTGAAAATACTTAAGTGTGAACTGAATGTGAAGTTTTCGGACATTACATTTCATGTTAATTGCAATTAAATGAAAATGCACTATAGTGTAAATGTATATTAAATGCAGTTAGTTTAAACTTAAAAGTGCTTTTCTGTCTCACTTAAGTAGGACTTAAGTGCATCTTTATATCTCATTTTATAATTACTTGTATTGTCTTTGAAATATAGTTAAAGTGTACTACTGAATGTACTGACAAACATTAATAAAATATACTGTAAATATAATAAGATACCAAAATATAATGCATTATCTATTGAAGCTTGAATGTAATGTATTTAAATATATTTGTAATTGCTCAGTTGTAATAATGGAGATGCAGTTTAGTACATTTAAAATATTTTAATCTTAAATGTCAAATAAAGCAATATACAGTACTTCGCATGTGCTTTAGTATGTTAGTCAACACTTCAAAATTAGTGTCCTTCTTGATAAAAGATTATTAAATCATAATGAGTTAAAATGTACTTTATTAATTTGACGTTACAAAGTTCACTTTTTAAAAGTCTACTTAAGTGTGTTAAGAAACAGTCATGAATACACTTAAGTGGCCTTTTATTTGGTTAACATTATCTACATTTACAGTCTTAAAATATACTAAGATTTAAAGTACACTACAATTGCACATTCATTACAGTTAAGCGCACTTATTTTTCCACAATGGTGGATTTCCCAGATAACCTACAACATTTGCCAAAATGATCAGTATATATATCAGTATATAAGCAGAGCACACTGCTTATACTGTATCCCATAATCCCCTGCTCTCAACTTGACGTTCCACGTGTGAAGAATGAACTGGATGCTATATACACAGCAATGTTAACGTCTCTTTCTCAATACTTAAGTGCTCATATTGAAGTGTTTAAGATGGGATCACGTGAGAACAAGGTTTATCTCTGCATGCCGTTTAACATAGTCAACACTGCACAGTGTGCGAAAGCAGAAGGCTAGTGTTCCATTCTGAACAGAGCTGATTAATAAAAATGAAAACAGGCCATAAATAAAAGGTCTGTGTTGCTCAATTTCAACCTAATTCCATGCTTTTCCTTTGATGTTTTTCCTTTTCAACCCCTCTCTCTCTCTCTCTCTCTCTGTCCCCCTTTATCCTCTCTTTTTCCCCGTGACTTATGTTCTCTCTCTCTCTCTCTCTTTCTCTCTCTCTGTTGTTTGGCAGGGCTCTGTTTGACTATGATAAGACGGCAGACTGTGGTTTCCTGAGTCAGGCCGTGGGCTTTAGGTTTGGAGATGTGCTGCATGTTTTGGACTGTGGAGATGAGGAGTGGTGGCAGGCCTGCAGACTCAGCCCACAGGGGGACGAGGAGGAGGTCGGCTTCATCCCCAGCAAGAGGAGGTGTGTGTGTGTGTGAGAGAGAGAGAGAGTGTGTCTGTGTGTGTGTGTGTGTGTGTGTGTGTGTGTGTGTGTGTGTGCTCAGTTGTAATAATGGAGATGCAGTTTAGTACATTTAAAATATTTTAATCTTAAATGTCAAATAAAGCAATATACAGTACTTCGCATGTGCTTTAGTATGTTAGTCAACACTTCAAAATTAGTGTCCTTCTTGATAAAAGATTATTAAATCATAATGAGTTAAAATGTACTTTATTAATTTGACGTTACAAAGTTCACTTTTTAAAAGTCTACTTAAGTGTGTTAAGAAACAGTCATGAATACACTTAAGTGGCCTTTTATTTGGTTAACATTATCTACATTTACAGTCTTAAAATATACTAAGATTTAAAGTACACTACAATTGCACATTCATTACAGTTAAGCGTACTTATTTTTCCACAATGGTGGATTTCCCAGATAACCTACAACATTTGCCAAAATGATCAGTATATATATCAGTATATAAGCAGAGCACACTGCTTATACTGTATCCCATAATCCCCTGCTCTCAACTTGACGTTCCACGTGTGAAGAATGAACTGGATGCTATATACACACCAATGTTAACGTCTCTTTCTCAATACTTAAGTGCTCATATTGAAGTGTTTAAGATGAGATCACGTTTATCTCTGCATGCCGTTTAACATAGTCAACACTGCACAGTGTGCGAAAGCAGAAGGCTAGTGTTCCATTCTGAACAGAGCTGATTAATAAAAATGAAAACAGGCCATAAATAAAAGGTCTGTGTTGCTCAATTTCAACCTAATTCCATGCTTTTCCTTTGATGTTTTTCCTTTTCAACCCCTCTCTCTCTCTCTCTCTCTCTGTCCCCCTTTATCCTCTCTTTTTGCAATGTTAACGTCTCTTTCTCAATACTTAAGTGCTCATATTGAAGTGTTTAAGATGGGATCACGTGAGAACAAGGTTTATCTCTGCATGCCGTTTAACATAGTCAACACTGCACAGTGTGCGAAAGCAGAAGGCTAGTGTTCCATTCTGAACAGAGCTGATTAATAAAAATGAAAACAGGCCATAAATAAAAGGTCTGTGTTGCTCAATTTCAACCTAATTCCATGCTTTTCCTTTGATGTTTTTCCTTTTCAACCCCTCTCTCTCTCTCTCTCTCTCTGTCCCCCTTTATCCTCTCTTTTTCCCCGTGACTTATGTTCTCTCTCTCTCTCTCTCTTTCTCTCTCTCTGTTGTTTGGCAGGGCTCTGTTTGACTATGATAAGACGGCAGACTGTGGTTTCCTGAGTCAGGCCGTGGGCTTTAGGTTTGGAGATGTGCTGCATGTTTTGGACTGTGGAGATGAGGAGTGGTGGCAGGCCTGCAGACTCAGCCCACAGGGGGACGAGGAGGAGGTCGGCTTCATCCCCAGCAAGAGGAGGTGTGTGTGTGTGTGAGAGAGAGAGAGAGTGTGTCTGTGTGTGTGTATAATATGCTGATTTGCTGCTCAAGAAACATTTCATAATGTTATCAATTCTGAAAACAGTTCCACATATTTTAGTTTTATTACATCAGTCTCATGTAAGTTTTTTTGGCTGTAATGTCATAAGAATGTGGGACAAATTCACTAAACATTTGTGCCATTTTTGCATGTGCTATTTCAGCTCAAATGTACAGGTGCGTTCTGCACTAGGGGTGTGTAATATGCATCATGATAATATCATAATTGCTGTTTTAACAATGCATGAATGAACTGACATTATCAAGTATGTCACTCACGTTACAAAAACACCATGAGTGTGCACACATTTACTGCATGATGTAGCCTATTAGAAAGCAATTAGTATGCCCTTCAAATTTAAGATTTAGGGGGAGTAAAAAAGTTTGTCTTATATTATAGTTAAGCGATATCACACCATCTTATCAGCTGTACAGTCTTTCTGTACAACAACAGCACAGTTCATTCTCAGTAAACTCAGTATTCCTTCTGCTGTTGTTTTAATATAAAGCTCGTGTCATTCATTCAGATGCATCTCTCTTCCAGGGTTGAGAGAAAAGAGTGGACGCGGTTGAAGTCGAAAGAAAGGGTAAGATCCCTGCTAAAACACAAACGGCTTTAAATTACTTAAATTACTGAGATTGGTTTTCCTCCTCTCTAATCAGTTGTGATGTGTTTAGAGCAGCAGTGGTGTGTGTTTGCAGCCCATGGGAGTCTCTCAAGCAGTTGTTTCGTGAAAACTCTCGGGCATTGTGAGCTTGTTCTGCCTGTAGGGCTCATGCTGTAGACACAGATCACTGCGCTCACAAACACACACCATTGCATCCAGCACACGTGCTCGGTGCTTTCTGTGGGTTTTCCTGGGAAATTAATATTTAGGCTTCGTATCTGTTACCTGTGTATTTTAGCATTGTGGGATTCATACATAAAGTCCCTAAATTTATATTTGCAGAAAAAAATGCTTAAATGCACAGGGAAAACGTCCACATGCTCACGTTGTCACTTTAGGATGACCTTGTGAAAAAGAAGTGTGCCTAATTGCATTGAGTGTGCACTTTTGGTGCGACTCTTAAAAGTACTTTAAATAATAAAAGTATAAATACTATTTGTGACCCTGGAGCACAAAATCAGTCATAAGGGTACATTTTTCGAAATTGAGATGTATACATCATCTGAAATCTGAATAAATAAGCTTTCCATTGATGTGTGGTTTGTTAGGATCGGACAATATTTGAAAATCTGGAATCTGAGGGTGCAAAAAAATCTAAATATTGAGAAAATCATCTTTAAAGTTGTCCAGATGAAGCTCTTAGCAATGCATATTACTAATCAAAAATTAAGTTTTGATATATTTACGATAGGACATTTACAAAATATCTTCATGGAACATGATCTTAATATCCTAATGATTTTTGGCATAAAAGAGAAATCTATAATTTTGACCCATACAATGTATTGTTGGCTATTGCTACAAATATCCCCCAGCGACTTAACACTGCTTTTGTGCTCCAGGGTCACATATTTTAATGAACTGTACTTGCAGATAATATAATATGTAAGCAATAAGGTACTCGAGGCCATGCTGTATTGTGAATAGGAATATTGTGTTAGGCACGAGTCACTGCAACTTATTCACAATACAGCACGCCTCGAGTACCAAACCAAAAATCTATGTATTAACATCTTACTTTTTCCTAGTAAATTCATTAGATGCTGCCCTTCCGCTAAAACATAGTCCCTGACGGTGACACTAAATGGCAAGAGAATGTTCCTGTCTATTGAAATAATAGGAAATCGTACGATTTTAATGAGAAAACATCAGCATTTTTTTGTTTTTATTTGTACAATCGGCACAAATGTTTCAACAGTGTTAACCCCTAATTACATCTAAACTGATGTAGGAAACAATCTATTACAATTTAATAAGCGTTGCCCCCTATATTTCCTTCTGGCAGGACCGAAGTCGAGACAGTACAGGCTCACAGGGTGAGTTACAACTCGTAGGCAGCACAGCACGGCCCTGAATACTGACACAGAATGGAATGATTTGTTGTTGCTTGTATTACAAACAGAAACTGATGCATGTGTATTTGTTGCTTTCAGGAAGGGAAGAGCCAGTACGGAGTTACGAGACAGTTGCACAAGTGGAAGGTCGGATAACTCGACCATATGTTGTGTCATTTATGCGCTGGCTCTGATCCAAACCCTAGTGAGATGCCTTGCTTTCTACGGTCTATGTGTGCAGCGTCCTAAATGAAATAAAAACCTCATACTGTGTGTCTACATACAGTACTGTGCATAAGTCTTAAAAATTTTAGCCAGTGCTGTAAAGTGAGGATGCTTTCAATGATAATGTCATAAATCGATTTTATTTATCAATTCACTAAATCAAATCAACTTTATGTTTAAAACAGCTTTTGTCTGGTGCACTTGCACATAGTTTTTCAGGAAGCTTTGCATGAAGGTTTCTTGAGTCGTGGCCACAGTTCTTCTGGATTCTGGTTTCTTCAGACGGACTGGAGGAGGATGCTGAGATCAGATCTCTGTGTGCATTCAGAAATCTCACTGCATTATTACAATTCATGGCAAAAGGAATGTTTGGAAATGTAAACTGATATTTCCCTCTCACACACTACAGCAAACGATAGAATAAACTGACTTAAAACTAGTGAAAACACTAATGGCCTAAGACTTTTGCACAGTACTGTATATAGACAGACAGCAAGCACACAAACAGCAAATAACACACTAACGCTGAAAGTCTATTCTAATAGTTGATGTTTAATGTGAAATCAGATCTTTGTAGATGTAACTACTGTTTATTTCAGTACTGAATATGTTCAAAAAACCTCATTCGTTTTCATGTGGGGAGTGTGAGGTCTTTGCAGGCAGCTCACTAGGGTTGCGGTGCTGACTTTTTGTCTGTCATATTTTTGCTATTCTTTCTCTTCACTTCCATTGTTTGCTTTGTCTTCTAGTCTGTGTACTCATATTGGCTCTGCCGTGTGTCTCATCCTGTTTAGTGCACTACGCGAGGCCCATCATTATTCTGGGCCCGGTGAAGGACAGAGTGAATGATGACCTGCTGTCTGAGTTCCCAGACAAGTTTGGCTCTTGTGTCCCTCGTAAGTATTCATCACTCTCAGATGTACATTGCTCAGAAACATGCAGAAAGCCTTCCAAACAACAGCAAGCTCCGATCTGATTTGGCTTTACGCAGTTTCTGAGAGTCAGGGTGCAAAGGTTTTTAATCAAAGGTTTGTTGAATCAAATTTTGAGGTTTATCCTTGAGTGCATATAGGGTTCTATGAAGTCCATTTTACTTTTTTTACTGAATTTTATTACATTTTTTCCCAAATTCATTTTTTTCCTAGATTCAGTTTTTTCTTCCATTTTAATTTCTCTTCCTTTTTAATGTTTTAATTACATTTTAGTAATCACAAAACATGTAAATTCACTGAAATCATGAATCACTCATTATACAAAATTAGAACAATTTATTGTGAGTGTTTTTGTTGGTGTTGTTGTTGTTTAATACATTTTAGAGTTCTATGAAATCTATTAGAATTTTTCTAGATTCCATTGTAATTGTTTAATTAAATGTTAATAATCAAAAAACATGTCTAATCAACAGAATTCATATAACTTTAACAATTTAATCATTTATAACATTGAATTGAATTATTAATTTTTATATATATATATATATATATATATATATAATATTAGAGATGTGTGGAAAAAAAAAATATATTTTTTTTTTTTCAGAAATTTTGTGGATTTATGATTTAACTATATCAAAATGTATACCAAGCTTATATTTTGATGGGTTATCATGAAGAGATTTTAATTTCTGTGTATTAATGTGAAGTGAAATGCTCGTGACGTGACTCTAAGACAGGGTCCGGAGATGAAGTTTATGTCCTCATATAGTGCAGATGCCTGTGAATGTGAATGAGAAGCATCATTCACACAGAGACACACAGAAAAAACAGACTTCATATTTAAATACCAGTCTTTTTGCACTTTAATATCCACAGACACTAGTCCATTTTGTGATTGAACTCATTATACAGCCCTACGTTTGATTATTCATCCACAATTTACCAAATTGTGCGTTATACTGTAAATTCCATTTTTATGACTGGATTCCATATTTCTGGCCAGAATCCAGTTCAGTCTGGAATCACAGGGCCCCGATGCATATAGAATCTGTCTTGCTCTCATCTCAACCTCTCTTTAGATGCTTGCCCAAAATTTCTCTGCCAACAGCCTCCTCTATTATGATAAACAACTCAAACTAAATTAAAGGTGCCGTATGTAAGTTTTTGACTCTACTAAAGCATACAAATACCATAATATGTTTGCAGATATTTAAAAAACATGCTTAACATACTCGTTTATCTGAAAAACAATGCTACAGTCAGTTATTCTCCTTTGAAAATGTGCGTTCCGGGCCGGAATGTCGGTCTTTGTTTTGGTTTGTGAAACCCGCCCACTGCAAGTTTACACAATTGTATTTCGGCACCCCGGGTTGCCAGTTGGCGGAAAACACAGCGTATTTAATTTCATTCATCGTCAATGCGCTCGTTCCTGTTGGTGTCGTCAATCTGGCAAACTGCGTGTGCGTCAAGTCTGAGGAGGAGGGGCCCGGTGAAAAAAACCCTCTCCAATATTTTGAATTTGGACTGCAATACCTAGTTCAACCACTCGGTGTCAATCCTACATACAGCACCTTTAAGCGTAACTGATATCATAGTCACGAGACAATGTCACCGCTCCTCTCAGATACGACACGACCCAAGCGGGAGTATGAGGTGGATGGACGGGACTATCATTTTGTGTCGTCACGGGAACAGATGGAGAAAGACATTCAGAACCATCATTTCATCGAGGCGGGCCAGTACAACAGCCACCTGTACGGAACCAGTGTTCAGAGCGTCCGAGAGGTGGCCGAACAGGTTAGATCAAGACAAGGTTTTTTGGACACAACAATGAACTTGTGTATCCTTTTTGCAAATCTTAAAATGCACGTCTGTGTGTTTGTGAGCAGCAGGGAAAGCATTGTATTCTGGATGTGTCCGCAAATGCAGTTCGTAGGCTGCAGGCTGCACAGCTTCACCCGATCGCCATCTTCGTGCGGCCCAAATCACTGGAGAACGTCCTGTATGCAACGCCGAACAACCACACAAATACTTCAAATTAACATGAACTTAAAATGCCCCCTATTTAACAATACCTCAATGTATGTCTTTATCGAGGCGAAACTTACATTTCTGCTCTTTTATCCAGAGAGATAAACACACGTCTGACTGAGGAACAAGCCAGGAAAGGTATGGACCGCGCTATTAAACTGGAGCAAGATTTCCTGGAGTGCTTCTCAGGTAAGACAGTTTCACACATCGCCCACTAGTGTCCTGGAGGACAACTGGCACATTTATTAATAAGGCAATACCTACTGTAATAACGTGGAGTTTTATTAATTTACATGACTTCACCAGGTCTAGAAATCACACTTTTTATAATTCAATCATGACAACTCTCTGAATAGTTTTAGCATGTTAATAGATATGACATTGTTAGCATCCTGTATTTGCTTTTCGCGCAACTACATCTGCTACGCATGCTGCTGCTGCCGCAGAGCAAGTATGGGCATGCTACTGCCAATAGATACACAGACATGCTGCTGTGAGCATGTAAAATATGCTGCTGCTGCATACATAATTCCCATAGCAGATCTAGACAGGTGGAGCTGGGGGAGGTGGAGGGTTTGAGATGCAGGTGCGCTGCAGGACCAGCTTACAACAAACACTTAACCAGAGTATTTAAAAATTGAGCAAGCAATCTAATTGGCTGCAGAATCAGCAGAGGCCAGTCAGCTTGTGCCACATAGTAAATGTTGTGATTGCTTGCAGGTTGCAGGTAAAGGACCTCTCAGTCTGCGCCACCTAGAGTTAGGCTACCTCATATGTGACCATGGACCACAAAACCAGTCATAAGGGTCAATTTTTTTAAATTGAGATTTATACGTCATCTGAAAGCTGAATAAATAAGAATATTTAGGGCAATATTTGACCGAGATACAACTATTTGAAAATCTGGAGTCTGAGGGTGCAAAAAATCTAAGTATTGAGAAAATCATCTTTAAAGTTGTCCAAATGAAGTTCTTAGCAATGCATATTACTAATTACAAAAATTAAGTTTTGATATATTTACAGTAGGTTACATATTTACAAAATATCTTCATGGAACATCATCTTTACGTAATATCCTAATGATTTTTGGCATAAAAGAAAAATCTATAATTTTGACCCATACAATGTTTTGTTGGCTATTGCTACAAATATACCCCAGCGACTCAACACTGCTTTTGTGCTGCAGGGTCACAAATATCAAGGTTTTCCAAGACCATGGTAACCCTTATCCTTCAGAGAAAAAAGTTGTTTAGGGGTGTCCATTAAAATGAGAAATAGCTTGACTTTTAGCTTGTTTTGTCATATTTTAAATTAGTTTAAGTCATCTTGAGGCCCCTGGTTGAAAACCCCTGATTTAAACAGAGCATTGCATGAATGTGACGGTTTATGCAAGTTTTTTATTTCACTAAAAAGTTGATTGATACACAAATCAATGCAACCATTTATATTAAATTATTATGTACACTCTAAAAAAAATTGTACAGTAGTACCCCTAAGGTTTCAAAGTAGTACCTTAAGGGTACATATTACTACTGAAAGGCACTAATATGCACCTTTCAATAAGGTACTTTTATTGATTGATAAGTAGGGAAGTTGTCCTTTTAAAAGTACTGCCGTAATTACATGCGGTTAACGTTTTTGTAATTTTGCCGACAGTGTTGCATTCACACAACAATGTATAACTGCTTTACACAACGTTTAATTTAGCACGGAAATTAGTTCTGCTCGTGTTGCAAAAGTGATGCCCATTCGAGGTACACTGTTTGCATAATTTATTTGAGTAAATGCTGCAATGTTTTGTTTCTGCTGTTCTCTCTCTGTATCGCAGCGATCGTGGAGGGCGACAGCTTCGAGGAGGTTTATCACAAGGTGAAAACTGTGATCGAAGAGCAGTCAGGGCCTTATATCTGGATTCCCACCAGGGAGCGTCTGTGAGAGTCCACCCAGAGCCAAACCACCTCGCCCAGCCTGCCCTGGACTGTGGAGCTCCGACTCGTAGAGCTCACGAGAAACAGACAGAGAGGGAGAGAGAGGGAGGGAGAGATGGAGAGAAGTCACCGAGACTCCGGGAAATGATGGAGTGGAACAGCACAGGAGCTGGCCACACCGCATCTGCCTCTCTTTTCCTCCGTTTCCTAGCTTTGTAACTTCCTTTTTCTGCTTTTAACTTCCTTTCTCTGCCTTTCTCTCAGTCCTTCTCTGTTTCTTTCTGGCTTTCTCTCTGAATAGCGTCCTTTCACACAGGACTGGTGAGCTGTTTTTACTCTGTCACGAACTGGGATGCTACAAAGAAATTTTGTATGTTGTCAGATTCCCTCTCGCTCTCTCCGATCAACCCGGGAAGTGGAGAGAGATGAGCGACCGCCTTGGCTTTTACTGGAATGAGACGTTCAAGAGCCGCTCCTGATTAAAGGAGCTCGTTTCTAAAGTTGAATTGAACTGAAATAAGAAAGTATATTTATCAGAATCAATAATGCGCTGAAATCTTCTGTCTACTCAGAGACTGACGTTCACTCACAGTTATCAGCATCAAGGGCGTTTAATTCCTTTTCGAAATTTAAAGTGCTTGACGTGTGCTTCCTGAAATCCAGGAAGTACTGAGCTGGCAAATCTAAAAAGTTTGCCTCAGTCCTTCGAATGTTCCCCTGAAATAGTCTGCAGCTAGTTCATCACGTTGAATGGATGATAAGGAAGGAAAACGGGAAGACGCAGACTGTGACTTTCGTTCCGCACACCACAGAAAGCCACACGCCTGATGTTCCAGGGTCTGTTTTCTCTTGATTTTCTTGCGCTTACATGTAAACATTCTCATTTAGACACATGCCAACATAGATTTGGTAATGTTTGCCTTCTTCTATCTGGATCTTCTTGCAACAGCCAGATTGATGTTTTCCTTTGAGCTGAAATTTATTGGCTCGGTTGGATATTTCCCTGAGCGCCACAGCTCAACACAATGACTCCAGGCTGCTCTTTAATGTGCAATATCGGGCTCTTCCATAATCCTCCCATAATGTAACGAATTTTAGCCAACGTAATACTTTCGCCATTTTTACATGCCCGTCGGATTTCAGTTCAGTTCGGATCACACTTGTGCTGAGTGGCTACGTTCACAACGCAATCCAATTCATATATATATATATATATAATTGAACTTATTAAATATCTATATAAAATAATTTATTTAAATGCATTTATATAAAATGATAAATGATATATTCAGTAATTACATTGGGATATTTAATTCTTTCTTTCTTTCTTTATTATTTATTAACACCTCGCCATCATGCCAGTGTTTGTTTTCATGGCCTCTGTCTTTTTCTCAGCTAATGTGAATCAAGCATCACCTTCTGATGAGTAGTAGGTTATTTTAATGAAATATAACTTAAAAATGATTTACATCTCAAATAGATGTTTTGTTAGTGGCTTTTCTCGTATCACAGCTCAGGATAGTTGCTCGTGAAGGCTTTGGGACGGTGTACGTATTTGTGGTGTCATCAGAAAATACAACGCAGACTCACGGCAATTCGTAACAGTTTTGGTGAATTGGTGGCTCATTCGTATGAATTCGTACCATCACATACGTACGGTTTCGTGCGATAGAGCTTCATGCTTTTAAAAAAAAAAACGTACATTTTCGTACAAAATGCATCGCATGAATTCACATGAAATTGCCACCTTTAAAATAGATATGCATGCTTATGAGATCAGGTTGGAAAAACACGAACGTCAAGTCATCTTTCTGTGTCTCCAGAGGGATTAGTCACATGACGTTTACGGCTCAGAGTTGAATTCAATGTGATTTTTCCCCATTCAGCTGCAATGTGAACGTAGCCTTGCTGGCCTTTCATTCAGCCCTATAAACACTCCGTACACACACACACTTAAACACACACACACGAATACTATCAGGAAAATAGTGTATTGTACGATGTTTTTTATGCTGTGTATCAGATGATAATTAACTGTTGCAATCAAACCAATGAGGCTACTTTGATGCATCTCAATGGACAGTCAGTGGACACCATCACATCAGTTAATTGCTGGGTCGATGATGTTGCCATCACTGAAGGGATCTTAATGATGCTGGAGCTTTATTGGAATACGATCGTGGGTTCATTATGTTTGATGAGATTATTAGAGAGAATAATCCGCTTAGCCAGCTAAGTGTAACAATCTAAGCCTGCCTCCGACTAATTACCCTTCTCAGAGCGAGACACTCATTTGTAAACAATTTTACCCATAATTCTGTGAGGTTGACAAAGTGCCCACTTCAACCCTGGCCGACAAGAGAATGGCAGAATGATAAATTGGCTTTTTTACCGTTTTGTGCCGTGACAGCGATGCGGTAAAATCGATACGGTGCTTTGAGCTCAGAGGGCTTCACATTCAAGGTCTAAAGTAAGGATGAAAACTATGGTTTGTCCTGAACACAGTCCAGGGGTTTGCATCTGATTTAAGTGAGATTTCCTGTAAATCAATGCCATGTGCATTACTATGGTGATTTTTGGAAACGGACTTTGATTGAGACTAATGTAACTGGCACCGTTTGTGTCGGGCTAAAAGAAAAAGTTGATAAGAAGATGAAGTGAAACACATTTGCACTTACTAAAGGGAAGATTCGATCAGGCGTGATGAACAGCAGAAGGTTTCTGGTGGAAAGCAGAGGAATACAGCTTGTTTACTTTCACTTGTTTTCTTTTTACTTTTTGCATTTGAATTTCAATATTTATGTGTGTTTGGAGTGCAGTGACAGTTCTTTTCTTGCCGTTATTTTTATTTATAGATTTTATATAATTATTTAATTGTTTACTGCTTTGTTAACATCAGGTTTTGTGTGAAGACTGAGACGCTTTTGCTGTGGTTTCCAAAGTGGAGCTGCACACAATCAAATGAGAAAACTCAAACTAAAAATTAAACTTTACTGTGAAATAAAAAAAATAAAAAAAATTTACTTGCACGCATTACACATACCACATACCTTTATAAACATAGCCCTTAAATAAATTTCCCAAATCGTGTTATTGGCCACATAAGTAATGAAAAATAAGAACGTATATTGCGGTTTGTATGAGCTGCAGAAAAGTGCTCACACACACACACACACACACACACACACACACACACACACATTGTATTACCAAGAGAAATATATGACTTCTCTCTTACTAGAATGAATTATGAGTTGAATTTATTTATTTATTTGAAAGAATCAAATGTATTTTATCGATTTGTATTTGCCATAACATATTCTAACTATCCTGAACAGATTGAACATATTGCTTTTATTTAAAAAAAAGAATAATTATGAAAATACAACAATGCCATCTGATGCAAAAGTATATTTAAATGATTTATCTTAAAAGAGAGATTTACCAATGACAGTATCGGATAATAAAAATGTTTAATTTCAGTGAGATGCTTGTTGTAAATGAACTACAAAAATAATAAAACTAATTATGTTAACAAGTGTTCTGTTGAAGCTTTTGTTACGGTGTGGATGGATAATAATAGTGTGAATGTATTCCCAATTGCATAGACATACTATTTTTGAAGTATGCATACTGCATTCCATTATGTCTTCATCAGGTTTGGAGAAATGTAGCATTGCATCAGTGTCTCAGCAATGGATGCTCTGCAGTGAATGGGTGCAAATGTGTGCGCATACACACAACACACACAATATATTACCAAGAGAAATATATGACTTCACTCTTACTAGAATGAATTATGAGTTGAATTTATTTATTTATTTGAAAGAATCAAATGTATTTTATCGATTTGTATTTGCCATAACATATTCTAACTATCCTGAACAGATTGAACATATTGCTTTTATTTAAAAAAAAGAATAATTATGAAAATACAACAATGCCATCTGATGCAAAAGTATATTTAAATGATTTATCTTAAAAGAGAGATTTACCAATGACAGTATCGGATAATAAAAATGTTTAATTTCAGTGAGATGCTTGTTGTAAATGAACTACAAAAATAATAAAACTAATTATGTTAACAAGTGTTCTGTTGAAGCTTTTGTTACGGTGTGGATGGATAATAATAGTGTGGATGTATTCCCAATTGCATAGACATACTATTTTTGAAGTATGCATACTGCATTCCATTATGTCTTCATCAGGTTTGGAGAAATGTAGCATTGCATCAGTGTCTCAGCAATGGATGCTCTGCAGTGAATGGGTGCCGTCAGAATGAGAGTCCAAACAGCTGATAAAAACATCACAATAATCCACGAGTATTATGGATTAAAGACTCATCTTTTAGCCGGAAGCAATGGTTTAAAGTTGAAATGCCTTGATGGATTTGTTTCTTACAAACACGCAGCTTTTGGCTTCACAAGACATTAACTGATGTACTAGAGTGGTGTGGATTATTGTGATGTTTTTATCAGCTGTTTGGACTCTCATTCTGACGGCACCCATTCACTGCAGAGCATCCATTGCTGAGACACTGATGCAATGCTACATTTCTACAAACCTAATGAAGAAACAAATCATCTACATCTTGAATGGCCTGAGAGTGAGCACATACGTTTTTGCAGTTTTTATTAGTAGTGTTATTTTAAGGTAATCAACAAATGAAGAAAAGGGTTGCAACTCATTCTGGATTCATCCATCACAATGAAAATGAAAGGTCAAGTTCAGCACGTTGCAGAAGTGCATGTAGAATATTAAGAGTAATAATAGTAACATCTACATCTTGAATGGCCTGAGAGTGAGCACATACGTTTTTGCAGTTTTTATTAGTAGTATTATTTTAAGGTAATCAACAAATGAAGAAAAGGGTTGCAACTCATTCTGGATTCATCCATCACAATGAAAATGAAAGGTCAAGTTCAGCACGTTGCAGAAGTGCATGTAGAATATTAAGAGTAATAATAGTAAGACCATATGCTACTCTGAACATGCATCATAACTGTGTCAGCCAGCAGGGTGAGCTGTCGAGCTACTTGTCTACAACAATCCAGGCCTCTTCTGAAATCTGTATTTATTTGCTACTCCTAATTTCCTCTGAACAAAGGCCTGAACAAAAAACAGTCTATTCTGTGCTTGCTCAGCTATGCTCAACTTGAATGTGTATATATTCAGTCTGTCTTTCCATCAACTAAAGGGGCTGCACCCTCTTCCTGTGAGGAAGCTGAACAACAAAGATGCTTCCTTACCGCCCTGATATACAGTAACCTGTGTGAGAGTGTTTTTCATGGCTGCTGCTAACCTTCAGGGCACGACGGATGAATTATCGGCCAAAATGTGGCTTTCAACCTATCAGTGCGGTCAAATGTGAATAGCCGCAACACACACACACAAACTAACATGATGATTTTGTGGTATATGCATATCATCTACTGCACTAAAATCAAGCAGATGTCTCGAGGTGTGTGTGTGTGTGTGTGTGCAGTTGTACAGTAGCTGAAATTAAATCATGGTGAGATTACAGTGAAAGTGTGAAGGACGGATTGGATGTGTGTGTGTGTACTGGTTTATATATCCTGGTGGGGACTTAAACCTGACTACACACAGACTCATGGGGACTCGTGTCATGGTGGGGACCTAAATTGTGGTCCCCACGGGTACAAAAGCTTATAAATCATACAGAATGAAGTTTTTTGTTTCCTGTGAGGGGTAGGGTTGGTGTAGGGCAGTAGAATATAGGGTCTGTACAGTATAAAAACCATTACGCCTATGGAGAGTCCCCACAAGGATAGCTGACCAGACGTGTGTGTGTGTGTGTGTGTGTGTGTTGAGTCTCATCTGAGGGAAGCATTCAGACTGTCAATTGCTTTATTTATCAGCTAAGGCTGTCAGAAAGCATTTAGTCATGCTTCTCAGTCAGACTAAATGTGAATGGAACAGACAGAGAGAGAGAGAGATGACTGGAGTATAAAAAGGAGAAAGACTGGAAAAGAGGTCAAGGAGAAACATAAAAAGTGAGCA